ATAATACACATAACCTTTCTTAACATATATTTACTTCATATTTTAGGTGATTTCATGTACTTAGATATTAGGATATTAGTGTGATGTGTTTGTACTGCACAATAGGTTTGTTCTTTAGGAAAGCGGGCTGTTGAGACTAGTGACAGCTGCTTGGAGCCTTAGGTTAGGAAGCATGATTTCTGTTTTAGGTCTGGCAGACGGAGGAGAAGGCCGGACCCTGGACCGGAAGCTGCCTGATACGACACGCCCCCTTCTTCCTGGACATCTGCTGATATGCTCTGGCTTGAGGCGGGGGGCTCAGAGTGAGCACAGGGCCAGAGAGGGACATGGATTAGTTTTAGGAGCTCTCTTTGTTGGAATTTCTGTATCTGATTGTAAGGAAATTAAATACAGATGTTAAACTTGGAGATCTTCATCTGATTTCTGTACCAAATTTTGAACACGTCAGTCAAATCTTTTTTGACCCACAAAAGCCTCCCTTGACAGTGGTGTACCGCAGGGTTCCGTTTTAGGACCAGTTTTATTTTCACTGTACATGTTGCCCTTAGGCTCGATATTCAAAAAGCATAACATTTCATTTCACTGCTTTGCTGATGATGTTCAAATCTATTTGCCTTTGAATGTGAATTCCGATTCCGTCCAAGCACTGCAGAAATGTCTTGACGATGTAAAAGACTGGATGTCAATCAATTTTTTAAACCTGAATGACACAAAAACAGAAATTGTACTGTTTGGAGAACCTAATCCGTCTGTTTTCAACGGTGTGTCTAGCCTGTCTTCCTACTGCCCGACAACTTGCAAAAAACCTTGGTGTGTATCTTGATGGTGCTTTTAAAATGGACAAACAAATAAGTTCAGTTGTCAAAGCCAGCTTCTTCCAGCTGAGACTGTTGACCAAAGTTAAAGGCTATCTTCCACCAAATGACCTTGAGAAGGTTGTCCACGCCCTCATATCCACACGGATGGACTATTGTAACTCTTTATACTATGGCCTTGACCAGTCCTCAGTCCACAGACTGCAGCTGGTACAGACTGCAGCTGGTACAGAATGCAGCAGCTCAGATGCTGACTGGCACCAGACGACACGAGCACATCACTCCTGTGCTGTCGTCTCTACATTGGCTTCCTGTCGCTTTTAGAATTAAGTTTAAAATGTTATTGTTAGTATTTAAATCTCTGCATGACCTGGCTCCATCATATCTGACTGACTTGCTTACTTTGCACACTCCGGGAAGAGCACTGAGGTCCTCTGACCAGCTTCTTCTGCACTGTCCCAGGTCTAGATTAAAAACCAGAGGAGACCGAGCCTTTGCTGTGGCAGGGCCTAAACTCTGGAACGCTCTCCCTTACTCCATCAGAGCTGCCCCCTCTGTAGAGAGTTTTAAATCGCAGCTAAAGACACATTTCTTTGCTTTGGCTTTTTAACACAAGCAATGTTGAAATATTTATGATGGTGTCCTGCATTTTATTTTATGCTGAATGTTATTTGTGTGTTGTATTTTTACAATGTCTGGTAAGCACTTTGTGACAGTCCTGTCTGTTTTTTAAATGTGCTATATAAATAAACTTGACCTTGACCTTGACTTAGAGCAAAGATAGACCAGAGAGAGAGACCAGAGCAAGACCAGAGAGAGACCAGAGAGAGACACCAGGGTGACCAGAGAAAGACCAAGGAGGGACCAGAGAGAGACCAGAGAGAAACCAGAGAGAGACCAGAGAGAGCAGAGAGACGTTTGGTTTCAGTATCAAAAGACATCAACAACAAAAAAAGACACGGGAACTCAAATAGAAAAATAGAAACCAAGGTCTCAATTTCAAATCAGCGATCTCAAACAAAGCGAGAGACACAAAACGCACCGTCAACGTCTGAACCCGGTGTTGTAGTTGTCGGCAGAGCATTAAAAAACAATCTATGATCTACATCGGTGTGTGTCAAATGTTCTTGTGTGGCGCGAAGCGGGGCCTCCACTCGGAGATAAGTGTCTCATTATGCAGCGTCGCACAAAACGAATTAGAGAACAACTGGAGTCCTGCAGGAAGGGTGATGGTAATGATGATTCAGGACCTGCTCCCTGCGGCGTAAGTGCCCTCACTTCACATCCGCAAAGTCTCGGCGCAGAACCAGACTCAAAACAAGGGATCAAGAAACACTCGAGTCAAATACCACTACAGCCAGAAGCTCAGAGAGGCTGCAGAACAAACACACACACACACAGACACGCACACAGACACGCACACAGACACACACACACACACACTAAGGAATGTATAGTGGTAACTTAAACAACTACTTACTGCTATCGTAAGTAGACCCTTGAAAGAGTAGAGAGAGACCAGAGAGAGAGCAGAAAGAGACAAGAGAGAGACCAGGGAGCGACCAGAGAGAGACTAAAGGGATACCAGAAGGAGAACAGAGAAAGAGAGACTAGAGAGAGACCAGAGAGAGACCAGAGAGAGACCAGAGAGAGACCAGAGAGACCAGAGAGAGCAGAGAGAGACCAGAGAGAGACCAGAGAGAGCAGAGAGAGACCAGAGAGAGACCAGAGAGAGACCAGAGAGAGACCAGAGAGAGACCAGAGAGAGACCAGAGAGAGACCAGAGAGAGACCAGAGAGACCAGAGAGAGCAGAGAGAGACCAGAGAGAGACCAGAGAGAGACCAGAGAGAGACCAGAGAGAGACCAGAGAGAGACCAGAGAGAGACCAGAGAGAGACCAGAGAGAGACCAGAGAGAGACTAGAGAGATACCAGAGAGAGACAAGAAAGAGGACCAGAGGGAGAGCAGCGATGGACAGGTTGAGACCAGAGAGAGATTTTGACCATGTCACAGCGTTTCCCCCTCATCCAACCTGTAGTAGTTTTAGCTCTATTATATATTTTTACGTACACAGAGATCTATGCAGTCAAGACCAAGACAAAACAAAACATTTATGCTAAGGTTTAAACAATAAAAACCTGGAAACACAGAACTTATTTGGGCTATAAATGAACTCTACGGGCCGACAGAAACACAAGGGCTCAATGGTTGACGTGATATCACCAAATAATCACCCAGGATCAGTGTTTACAAAGGTTTAGGGCAAGAGCAGAGATGTCCGGGGTAAGAGGACAGGGGCAAGAGCAGAGAGGTCAGGGTTAGGAGCAGAGAGATCAGGGTAAAGAGGACAGGGGCAAGAGCAGAGAGGTCAGGGGTAAGAGGACAGGGGCAAGAGCAGAGAGGTCAGGGTTAGGAGCAGAGAGATCAGGGTAAAGAGGACAGGAGCAAGAGCAGAGAGGTCAGGGGTAAGAGGACAGGGGCAAGAGCAGGGAGGTCAGGAGTAAGAGGACTGGGGCAAGAGCAGAGAGGTCAGGAGTAAGAGGACAGGGGCAAGAGCAGAGAGGTCAGGGTTAAGAGGACAGGGGCAAGAGCAGAGGTCAGGGTTAAGAGGACAGGGGCAAGAGCAGAGAGGTCAGGGGTAAGAGGACAGGGGCAAGAGCAGAGGTCAGGGTTAAGAGGACAGGGGCAAGAGCAGAGAGGTCAGGGGTAAGAGGACAGGGCGAAGGTTAGGGCCATAGTTCAGTGTGGTTATGGATTGTACCGGGGTTAGCTCCAGGGTTGGGGTTATGAGTCCAGGATTTCATTTCATTTCATTCATATGTTTATTCCAAAAAAACAACATTAACATGATTTGACAACAGAATAATACAAGCGACGTACATGGTATGGAAAGGGGGTATCAACGTCACGGTCAAGCTGCCTCACAAGGGGAAGAAGAGGAAGAAGACGGAGGTCCGAGGCAGAGAGATTGACACATGTAGATTATGACTGTAACGTCCTGCCCACACCATGACGCCTACCATCAACCTGGGCCTCTCTTTCAATTCAATTCCATTCATGTTTGTAAATCCCTAAACCACAACAGCTGTCGTCTTGGATCCGCCAACAGATCAGAGAATCGGACGCTTCAAACACAAGGAACAAGGATGGCCACTGTCCAGATATGGTTTTAAATGTACAAAAAAACACCAGAAAACACCAGAATCGCTGCATCTGCCCTGAACACCTGAAAACCTGGTCTGGATCGCCGTGCACCACACCCTGTTCCAGTTCCTGCCAATATCCAGTAACTTGGATTTCTTCAGTACATTTTACGTCTTCTCATGACAATTCTCGAAGAGTGCTCATACCTTGACCACGTCCAAGGAGATAACAGAGAAAGACTAGAGAGAGAGTAGAGAGATACTAGAGAGAGACTGGGGAGAGAAAGAGCAGAGAGAGAGAGCAGAGAGAGAGACTAGAGAGAGAGAGAGCAGAGAGAGACTAGAGAGAGTAGAGAGAGAGCGAGCAGAGAGAGAGACTAGAGAGAGTAGAGAGAGAGCGAGCAGAGAGAGAGACTAGAGAGAGAGAGCAGAGAGAGACTAGAGAGAGAGTAGAGAGAGAGAGAGCAGAGAGAGACCAGAGAGAGTAGAGAGCGAGCGAGCAGAGAGAGAGACTAGAGGGAGAGAGCAGAGAGAGACTAGAGAGAGTAGAGAGAGACCAGAGAGAGTAGAGAGCGAGCGAGCAGAGAGAGAGACTAGAGGGAGAGAGCAGAGAGAGACTAGAGAGAGTAGAGAGAGACCAGAGAGAGAGTAGAGAGAAAAAAGAGAGAAACCAGAAGAAGACAAGTGGAGACCAGAGAGAGTAGAGAGGGACTAGAGAGATATTGGAGAGAGACCAGACAGAGAAAGAGAGACTAGAGAAAGACGAGAGGGAGATAAGTGGAGACCAGAGAGAGAGACAAGAGATGAACCAGAGAGAGAGAGACCAGAGGGAGACCATATGGGGCGGGATGGCCACTGTCCTAAATGTACAGAAATGTCTCACACAAAACACCAGACTCTCTGCATGTGCCCTGAACACCTGAAAACCTGGTCTGGATCGCCGTGCACCACACCCTGTTCCAGTTCCTGCCAATATCCAGTAACTTGGATTTCTCCGGTACATTTCATGTCTTCGTCACAGCTCTCATAACTCGAACGCCGCTCATACCTTGACCACGTCCACGTCCGCAGAGCTGCAGGTCACCAGGTCGTCCACCTCTCGCACCTGTCCGTCCGTCTCCACGGTAACCAGTTTGATGGGCACCGTCACTCGCCGCCCGGTGAGGATGGCCGTGTTGACCACCTCCGTGTCCTGAGGAGAGAGAGCGTTCTTACATGTATTACATTCAATATCATCATGATGATTACTCCCACTGATCACTGCTGTCTTTGTGTCCTTGGGCAAGACACTTAACCCCACTTTGCCTGGAGCCCCCGCTGAAAGATCTCAGCACCTGCAGGAGGATCAGTGAGGGGCTGGTGCTCTGACTGCCACCCCCCGACCCAGAAATGGATTAAGGGGAAGAAAATGGATGAATCAAGATGATTTGTTCCTTAGTAATACAAAACACTGTGAGGAATCTTGGAGTCGTGTTCAACGAATAACTCTCCTTCAAGCCACAGTTAAACCAAGCCACAGTTAAACCAAGCCACATTTAAACCAAGCCACATTTAAACCAAGCCACATTTAAACCAAGCCACATTTAAACCAAGCCACATTTAAACCAAGCAACTAAAACGGCTAAAATCACAAACATCCTAAAAGTGACGCTGAAAAACTGATCCACACTTTTGTCACCTCAAGGCTTACAGTAGTCAGCTGCTCATGTAGAATACAGCAGGATCTTAACAGGTACCAAAAGGAGGGAGCACATAACTCCGGTGTTAAAATCACTCCACTGGCTTCCTGTGGAGTACAGAATAAAGTTTTTAACCCTTACCCTAACCTTAAAAAAAAAAAAGCCATTAGTGGCTCCTTCTTATCTCCAAGACATGTTAATGTCTTATCACGTCAGACGTCTGGTGGTCCCTAAGGTCTCAAAAAGCACTGTCTGTGGCAGAGCATTTAACTCCAACCTCCTCTACTGTGGAATCAGCTCCCCACACACGTTAAGGAAGCAGACACGGTCTCTACATTTAAGGCCAGGCTTAAAACACTCTTATTCAACTTAGCATTTGGTTAGGTTGTTGTCCGGTCAGGTTTCGTCCGGTCTTGGAGTCTGCGTATGTTGGACCCGGTCCGCTGCATCTTCAACCCTACGTTCTAGGCTAGGTCTAAAACAGTCCTCTTTAGTTTAGCACATGGTTAGGAAGGTAAGACTCAGGGAAGGCTAAACTCCTCAGACTGTCAGTCAAGCTGCATAGGGAGCCCCCTGCTGGAGAAGTATGGTAACTTGTGCACTATCCTCTCCTTCCTACTTTATCTGTTTAGCATTATTAGGATTTTGACTGTAGTCTGTTCATTGCTATTCACCCACTGTCCCATTGTCTGTTTCATGGCGTGACGGCGGCCCCCGATCTGCCTTATGGGCTGCACCCCCTCCCTGCCTGGAGCTGCTTCAGTTCTGCATTGCACCTGTCCTCATTCTCAAACCACTGCAGGCCTTGGTCCTCGTTCTACAGTCTGAGTCCTGGATCTACAGCCTCAGTCCTCGTTCTACAGTCTGAGTCCTGGATCTACAGCCTCAGTCCTCGTTCTACAGTTTGAGTCCTGGATCTACAGCCTCAGTCCTCGTTCTACAGTCTGAGTCCTGGATCTACAGCCTCAGTCCTCGTTCTACAGTCTGAGTCCTGGATCTACAGTCTCAGTCCTCGTTCTACAGTCTGAGTCCTGGATCTACAGCCTCAGTCCTCGTTCTACAGTCTGAGTCCTGGATCTACAGCCCATCAGATCCCACTCTCTGTGGATCTGAGGTCTCTCCCTTGTCTCCCACTGGGTTTCAGAGTTTTTCCTCTGATGCTGAGTCTGTTACAGTCAGTGTCCAACTATAAAGGACTGTGATGATCCAGGACACTTTAACATTCTACAACATGTATGACATTTATCCACATTCATGGACATTGGTCTCTCTCTATGGTCCAATACCATGTGTTCTCTCTCTATGGTCCAATACCATGTGGTCTTTCTGTGTTTTAACTGTTGATTTTCTGATCTGTTGTTGGTGATTTCAACAGCTGTGTAAAATCCTTTGAGAAAACAACTGTTTATATGTGATTTATGGCGATAAAAGAATAAATAGAATTGAATGTCCTGAGTGTGTTTGGTTTAGTGTCTGGCCCCTGTCATTAGTTGAGATCTGCTTTTTCAGACAGAGAAGTGAAACACACACACACACACACACACACACACACACACAGATGTGGTAGAGAAAGTTGTGTGAAGCGTAATGGGAGAAAAGTGTCATTATAAAGCTGAGATTATTATAATCAGCAGGAGCAGATTTGATTAGATCCTGACACAGAAATAGCACAAACATGGCGCTCCCCGTGTGCACCGCCACCGCCACCGCCACCGCCACCGCCACCGCCGCCGCTGTCAATCCTGATTATTTGGCGTTGGATTTCCGAAGGGGGCATTTATCCGCCAACACAGCTCTGATTGCAAACTATGCTCTGGTTTCGGACCGGTTTGGGTTTACAGAAGGCCCAGGAAGTAGAGAAAGACCAGGTGGTGCTAGTGCTAATGCTAATGTTATTGCTAATGCTAATGCTAATGCTAATGCTAATGCTAATGCTAATGCACCAGCAATTAGAACAATAATAGCAATAATTCAATTCATTGCAATGTATTCTAGTATCGCCCTAAATCACGACAGAAGATCTCTCAGAGGACTTTACAAAATTGTTGAATTCACCGACACAGATCAGAGAATCAAACCGTTCAAATACAAACTTTCAACAATTCGGACATTTTGATCACAAAATACTTTAATGGAAAAGACCGGAAGAAGAGTTTGAATGCTCTGTCACATCTTTAGAGCAACAATTTCGGACAAAAAAACAAAAATCGTCAAATCGTGCAAATTCACATATTCTAGATCCAGATTCAAATTATTTGCAGTAAAACCACATTGGAATACATGTCTTAGTCCTGGGTCTACAGCCTCAGCCCTGGGTCTAAAGTCTCAGTCCTGGGTCTACAGCCTCAGCCCTGGGTCTAAAGTCTCAGTCCTGGGTCTACAGCCTCAGTCCTGGGTCTACAGCCTCAGTCCTGGATCTACAGCCTCAGTCCTGGGTCTAGTCTCAGTCCTGGGTCTACAGCCTCAGTCCTGGATCTACAGCCTCAGTCCTGGGTCTAAAGTCTCAGTCCTGGGTCTACAGCCTCAGTCCTGGGTCTACAGCCTCAGTCTTTGATGACATAACGACAAACATGACTTTATCTTGACTTTTTCACTCCTTGCCTCTGACAGAAGACGATTATTCAAAGCGTATAGAGCGGTTTCTGCCCGAGGACACTGCAGCGTCCCCACCTGGGCGTCTCTGAGCCCGGGTTGAAGGTGAGAATCCGATGAGGCAGCGTAAGGAGACAAACAGGATTACGGATGAAAGACGCAGAATACAAGGGCACCGAACCCAGAAGAGGTGGACTGGGGAGCCCGAGGGAGAGAGCAGATGGAGGGATAACGACGAGAGGAGGGGGAGGAGGGGGAGGGAGAGGGAGGAGGACCATGTTAGCTAGCTGTGTGTCCCGGAGAAACTCGCCGATAACATCAAGTTTACGTTGAAGAACACAGAACACAGCCAAAGAGAGTTTGAGTGTGATGAAAGGATTTATTACAGGACAATTCTGCTGCTGTCAGACTGTACAACGAACAGTGAGGACCAACGAACACAGCTGAACTAAACCCATATGTAAAATATGTTATACTTGCTTCTCTCGAAAGAGACAAGAGAGAGGCCAGAGAGAGAAGAGAGAGAGACAAGAGAGAGACCAGAGAGAGACCAGAGAGAGAAGAGAGAGACCAGAGAGAGACCAGAGAGAGAGACCAGAGAGAGACCAGAGAGAGACCAGAGAGAGAAGAGAGAGAGACAAGAGAGAGACCAGAGAGAGAAGAGAGAGAGAGACAAGAGAGAGAGACCAGAGAGAGAAGAGAGAGAGACAAGAGAGAGACCAGAGAGAGAAGAGAGAGAGACAAGAGAGAGACCAGAGAGAGAAGAGAGAGAGACAAGAGAGAGACCAGAGAGAGACCAGAGAGAGAAGAGAGAGAGACAAGAGAGAGACCAGAGAGAGAAGAGAGAGAGACAAGAGAGAGACCAGAGAGAGACCAGAGAGAGAAGAGAAAGAGACAAGAGAGAGACGAGAGAGAGAAGAGAGAGACCAGAGAGAGACCAGAGAGAGACCAGAGAGAAACCAGAGAGAGGCCAGAGAGAGACCAGAGAGAGACCAGAGAGAGACCAGAGAGAGACCAGAGAGAGACCAGAGAGAAACCAGAAAGAGACAAGAGAGAGGCCAGAGAGAGACCAGAGAGAGACCAGAGAGAGACAAGAGAGAGGCCAGAGAGAGACCAGAGAGAGGCCAGAGAGAGACCAGAGAGAGAAGAGAGAGAGACCAGAGAGAGACCAGAGAGAGAAGAGAGAGAGACCAGAAAGAGACCAGAAAGAGACAAGAGAGAGGCCAGAGAGAGACAAGAGAGAGACCAGAGAGAGAGAGACCAGAGAGAATTTTGTTCATACTGAACATTGGTTCAATGTGCCTCAAACCATATCTGCATTATGAACGGTTGTAAATTGCTCTGGGTCACTCTGGTCATTCATTTTAATTCAGGTTTGCCAATATAATACATCCTCAGGGAGAAGCTAACTGCTAACCACTGCGAGTAAACAGTGTGTTGCTATGGTAACCACGAGCATATTTGTGGTTCACTGGTGGAAAACTGAGCTTGAACCAGGTCCAGTCCAGGATCAGAACTGTGGAGATCAGATCTCTCTCTCTCTCCCGGGCTCTCTCTGTCTCTCTCTCTTTGTCTCTCTCTCTCTCTCCCGGGCTCTCTCTGTCTCTCTCTTGGTCTCTCTCTCTTAGTCTCTCTCGGTCTCTCTCTCTTTGTCTCTCTCGGTCTCTCTCTCTTTGTCTCTCTCTCTCGGTCTCTCTCGGTCTCTCACAGTCTCTCTCTCTCGGCCTCTCTCTTTCTCTCTCTCTCTCTCTCTCTCTCTCTCTCTCTCTCTCTCTCCCCCCCCTGTGGAACAATACAGTTAGAGAGAAACCCTAGACTGGACAATTAGCATGGTACACAAATAGACGTTCTGACTCTGTGCCTGTAAACTCTGATGGGGCTCTATTATTACAGCAATAATGAGTGTTTTTTGTCGTTCTTC